TTCCTCATTTAATTTTAGTCTGTACAAACCCAACCAATTCTTTAGGCACATTATTTTCTCTGAGACAAGTTCAACCATTTCCCCCACCGACTCCACCCCAGCGCTGCTGATGATCTGTATGTCATTTGCATAAGTGTACAGGAGAAAAAGGAGTAGGCCTAACACTGAGCTCTGAGGAACTCCGTTCTTTATTTCCATGACTGTTGATGCTTGTACCCCGTAGACCACTTCATACGTTCTCTCGCAAACAAATGATGACAACCAACCAAGTACCTTGCCTTTCAAACCAAATTGATTTTTCAAAACCAAATGCAGCACGTCATGATTGACACAGTCGAAAGCTGCACTCATATCCAAAAGTGCCAAGAGAGAAACCCTTTTCTTGTCAACAGCTTCGTACGCATCTACCAACAGACGAGTTAGTGCTGTTTCAGTCGAATGATGTCTTCTGTAGGCAGATTGTGCATACGGCATCAGGTTCTGTTTGTCTAAATGCTGCACCAGCCGTCGTACTACCACTCTTTCGATTAACTTAGAGAAGAAAGTTAATTTTGAAACTGGTCTATAATTGCCCGGATCAGACACATCTGATTGGGGTTTTTTCAACAGCGGCGTGACAATTGCATGCTTGGCTATCTTTGGTAAAATTCCGTCTCTCAAAGATGCATTGACCATGACAGTTATGAAGGGTAGAAGAACATCCAGAAACTCCTTGAGAATGTATGTTGGGACAGGATCACCTGAGCATGTCGTTGACGGTGATTATTTTGTGAACCTCTTCTTCTGTGCAAGGTTCAAAATTATCCAATACTCCAACAGACAACTCTTCAATTTCAGGAAAATCATAATGCTGAGTCGCCCTCATTACTCTATCAACTTTGTCTTCAAAATGTTTGATAAAATCGTCAGATGAAAGTTCTGTCTTTTTTGACTCTGACATCTTTACATTTTTATGCATCATCTTGTTCACATGACGCCAAAGTTGAGAAGGATTTTTTTTGCAAGATGCTATCTGATTTCGCCAATAACTATTTTTCTTGTCTATCAGCAACACTTTCCTGTCCTTCAAGGCACCATACCAATTTTTCCGATCATCATCATTCTTTGTTTTGTGATATTTCTTTTCCAGCTTCCTACACCATCGTCTAGACCGAATGCACTCGTCATCAAACCAAGGGGTAACTGGACAAAATTTACTGTTAACCTTCTTAATTGGTGCATATTCATCTGCCAACCGTCGTAACTCCGTCACATAGCAATTCATCAGATCCCCAGCGCAAGCATCATCAGATGGTCGTACAGCCAGTAATATTGACATCAAAGAACCTCGAAATGCCACTTTGTCATACTTCTTCCAACATCGTACGAGTTTAGTTACCATTTTTGGTTTAACCTTTTGCATGAGCAACAAACACGTTATAAGGGCATGGTCCGAAAATTCTCCTGGTGTTCTCACGGTGACATCAGTAATCTCGTAACTCGATGTAGCAGCCACAAAATCTAATGTTCCATTTTTGACGTGAGTTGGACCATGCACAAACCTGATCATATCAAATGTTGCAAAGAAATCTTCCATCCGCTTTGCATTTAAATCATCAGCGTCCTCTAGATGAATATTAAAATCACCAGCTATCAACAACGGAACGTTATTCACAATCAGCCCCTCAACCACATGACCCAGTTCGTCAAAGAACAGTTTGTCAGCACCTTTTGAGCCCGGACGATATATCGCCATCAGAATGACTGGTGTATTTGCCATCGAGATCTGGACGCATAAACACTCAAACGATGTTAGTTTAGGAATATCCAACCGCCTGAGGGAGTACACATCCTTAACCATAACAATCAAACCACCATGAGCTGGATCAAATTCCCTGACGGCATCATCGTACCCATAGCCTGGTGGCAAAGCAGATTTTACCGAATCATCATTTGACGCTCTGTGCCATGTTTCTGTAAGCACCATAACATCAATTTTGTTATGCAACAAGGCATCATAGATTACCACTGACTTGTTTGACAACGACCTCACATTGAGCAAACCAAGTTTCATCATGGTATTATCTCTATTTCTATCAACATCATCGTCTTCTGTAGAGAATTTTTTTAACTTTAAGCAATAGCTGTTTGTTACCAGATTATTTCTTGGAAACATTTTCTTCCTAGGATTCCAGAGTTTTAACGAGAAAAGTTTTTTACGTATCCTTCTATTAGGTTTCAGGTTATTATTGAGCTGCAGCAATTGTTCAACAGTGTACGTTAATTTATTTACATCCATATTGATCAGTATAGTTTATTAAAATCAGTCTGTTTAAAACTTTAATTCAGATCAACAACTTGCAATTTAAAAACTATGACTATTGAGATAAATTAAAATTAGTTTAGAATTATTTTAGAATTATTTTAGAATTATTAGTTTAGAATTATTTAGGAGCTATATAAACTAATTTTCCAATCAAACTCAACTTTTAACCAAAAATGTATTTCTACACTGAGAGCTTTACACTTGCTCATTAACATAATTGACTCCGCCTACAAAATGTCCACTTAAACAATAAACCTTTAAAACTCCCAAAAACAGTTTAACGCAAGACCAAATTTAGGTTTACAACTGACTAATCACTAGAAAACCGATTTTAAAAATTTTATTTAAACGTTTGAAGAGCGAAAACGACATAGAAACACCAACATTCCAACAATTAAGCACACTTTACGTAACACGACTTGTCAGATAAACAAGCGCAATAACATGATCTTCATATGTAACATATATTGTCAACATATCGGCAGTATATATTAGGTTTTAGCTCTGGTTCTTCTTTAAATAACATTTTTTTGATATGTCCAACATAGAAGTTTGCGAAGAGTACTCCCAATGGAGAGCTCATTGCTACACCGTCTATTTGCTGATAAAATGTGTTACCCGGGCCAACGAATGGCGCTTCGGCCGTACATATTCTTAGCAGCGCAACTAATTCATCTTTTGGAATTGGTAGTGGTGAATGACTGAAATTGTATATTGTATTGTATGTTCTATCATGCATAAAGTAAACAAAAATTTTGTTTTTGAACTAAAAAAACATGAAAATAATTTTTAAAACGTCGAAAAAATCTTTTTAAAAAATCAAAAATTTAAATTAGAAGTTAACTAACGCCGAACATGCTGTGATTTTCATCAATAGTTATATAATTATAAATATATATATATATATATAAATTAAAAAAAATAAATGAAGGAATGGATGAATGAATGAATGACAACAACAACAACACACGTTTAGACGACATTTTCCCAGAGATCGGGGTTCGCCGTTTGGCTACCTATCTACCTATGATGAAACCGAAATACCCCTCGATGCCATTCACATCTGTCACTCGCCTCAGTATCACGCAACCCCGCTTTCACTCTGTCCTTCTCCACCTGCTCTTTCCATCCCAATCGCGGATGACCCCTTCCTATCACTCCTTCAACCTCGAACTTCAACGCTCGCCTAATTCCGACCCTTTCATCCTTTCTCAGCACATGTATAATTGTATATACCACCGCAATCTCGATCTCCTTATCAATGTCACAATATCCTCATTCAGTCCCATCATTGACATCAGCTCTGTACTACTCCTCTTATCCTTCACTTTAACCCCTTTACATCATCCTCATCATAGCTCTTTCAGCCCTCAACATTACACTTTCCTCCTCTTTCCTCAACACCCAAGTTTCACCACCTAATACTATCGCTGCTCTCACACATGCTTTATATACCCTCCCTTTCATCTTCACTGACAATTTCTTTCCACACAATCCCTAAATTTCATTAATCTCACACGAACTCTAGCCGTAACAGCGCTCAAACATTCTCTATCCGCGTTCAGCTTAACCTCTAAATAAACAAAGTTTTCCACTCTTTCAATACCACCACTCAACCCCGTCCTTGCGTCCGTCCTATTAATCACAACATGAACACAATTCTTACATTCGAACGTGCCTTCCACCTTTTTCAGTGCTCTCCTCACACCATTACATCTCTTATGCACCCACTTCTGACATCCTAAACACAATACCGAGTTAACCTTCACTCTCCTGTCACATACCCCACAGGGGTCTATTTTACTTATCACTCGCACCCCACCTTCCCCACTCACCATTACCTTCGTCTTACCAATATTAACTTTTAACCCTTTCTTTTCAATAACACTTTTCCATCTGTCAAATTTTAACTGCAATTCTTCCATGCTATCAGCCATCAAGACCAAATCATCAGCATACAAAATCTCAAATAACAACCTCTTCATTATGATTCCACACACAACATCCATCATAATTGCAAACAAAAACGGTGATAACACTGATCCTTGATGCATTTTCACCTTAACACTAAAAGCGTCCGACATCACCCTTCCGACCCTCACTTTTGTCTTCGCCCCTTCATACAGCTGCATCACAGCTTTAACAAGTCTCTCATTCACTCCTTTCTTCCTCAACGCCCATTCAATGACCTTACTCGGTACTCGATCAAAAGCCTTTTCTAGATGCACAAAACACATGTACCATCTTCGTTTCTTCTTTCTATAATTCTCCTGCAACATTCTCACTATGAACAACGCATCCACCGTTCCCCTACCAGGCATAAACCCACTCCTCTCAAGCACCCTCTCTACTACCTTCATTCCATGCTTTAGCAATTTCACACCCTTATATGGCCCACAATCTTTCACATCTCCTTTGCCCTTATACAACGGCACTAACACACTGTGTCGCCAATCCTCAGGTATACCTTCATCATCAAACATACTGTTAGCAATTCTCATCCTAACTTTAATTCTTATCAACCCACTCGCCTTTATATGTTCCGCCGCTACTTTCGAAACCCCTGTCGCCTTACCTAGTTTCATTTCTCTAACGGCTTTCTCTATTTCCTCCGTCGTCACCTTTTCTATGGGTCCGTGTGTGACCGCGGATTCCACATCTCCATCCCACTCATTCTCTTCATTCATCAACCTTTCCATATGAGCTTTCTACACCTGAACTTTTTCTTTTTTATCTATGCACAACTTGCCAGATCCATCCCAAGCTTATCCATTTCCTATAACATTTTTCCTATCCTTCATTAACTGCTTTGCTACTTTGAACATTTCCCTCAAACTTACATCAAATTCCATTTCCCTAATTAACCTATCTGATGCTTTCGTCATTGCAGTTGCCACTGCCCGTTTTGCAACTTTTTTAGCCTTCCTATACTCAGACTCCGCTTTCCCCGTCATGTCCCTTCTCCACACCCCAAACTTCTCCTTGACCTTCAAAACCTTTCTTATATCTTTATCCCGTCATGTCCCTTCTCCACACCCCAAACTTCTCCTTGACCTTCAAAACCTTTCTTATATCTTTACCCCACCACCACGTCTCACCATGCCCACACTTTCTTTTCGTCCATCCACATACTTTATCTGCCGTAGCCAACACACAGTCTCTATATCTCTCCCAAACATCTCCATCCTTACCACTTTCCCAACTTTCAGTCACCTTCACTTCAATGCCTTCCTCACTTCTGCATCCTGTAACTTCCATGACTTTTTCTTTGTTTCAAACTTATCCTTCTTCCTCCTCCCCATTTCTTTTGATGCCACATCCATCACAGCCATACTATGCTGCAACATACCAGGTATCGCCTTCACATTCCTTACATACCTTCTATGCTTCGCCCTTACCAATATATAATCTATCATTGATCTATGATCCTCTGACTTATATGTAATTAATCGTGCTGGTCCCCTTGTAAACCAGGTATTCCCCACCACCATGCTTTGTGCATCCGCCAACTCCAACACTCTGCGCCCTTCCTCATTCTGTATACCATATCTCCATCCCCCATGTACACCTTCATACCCGTCTGCATCCGCCCCAACATGACCATTCAAATCACCCAACATCACATCACATCAAACTCATTCATATATATGTTCTTAATTCTAATAAATTAACACACGGTTCGCTCGCGCCACATATACGCGCCTGGTATTAGACGCGTATATGTGGCGCGTATATGTTAAACGTTTGTTTGCATTAGTTGTACATTCACATTGGTGTTTCTATAGTTTTTCACTCATTTATAGTTTTCATAATATTTTTTTAAATTCAATTTAAGTGTTAAAAAAATAATTATTATTATATAAGCTAATAAATTAAACCATTTCAATTCCAATAATTTAAAACTATATTTAATTCTATTAAAAATAAACACAATAAACTCGCGCTACACATACGCGCCTGATTTTAAATAGTAATTGTTATACGTTTGTTTGCATTAGTTGTATGTACGTCAACACCGGTGACGTACAACTAATGCAATATGGGCTTAAGCTCAACACAATTACAACAAATTCCACCAACCCATCAAATTTTCCTAATAAAATTAATACAACAGAGTTAAACGATCTCCAATTTTAAGAAGCCACAATCTTTAAGGGTATGCGCTACGATGAGTTTTGTGACAATTAGTTTGATGAGTTCAAATATGCTATGTCAATGATGGTGCATATTTTTAAACACGATGCACTCATACTTTTGATCCAGGCGGTGTTTATTCCGAAGTTATCCTGTTTCTTAACAACCTCCCCCGTTCCGTTAAAGCAAATTTCTGAAAAGTTCAACCACCAATTACTTATGGCTGTTCAATCCATTTTCAAAATATTTTTTGATGACAAAGGCTGGAGCCAGGCACTTTTGCCTGTCGGTATTGGTGGGTTGGGCGTCGTGGCTGACTTGGCACCATCTGTTTTTTTGTCTTTTGCCGCGGCCACGGCGTCTCTTCAAGATTCGATGTTGCCGATGGATAGCGCATACGTAGACTATCTAAGATTGGAAACGTTTGCTAATTGGTGCTCCATTTTATGGAGATGTGACCGGCATCGACGTTTGTTTGCAAAAACAAGTGGAACGAAGCATTGTTGAAAAGATCTTGTGAATCATTGGAACAGTTGAATGCTTCGCCTTTCAATAAAGCCAGATTGGTGGCAGTCAAAAGCGTTTTTGGTTCGTCCTGGTTAAGGGCGTTACCAAGCAGCGCTTGCGGCACCAGACTCGAAAACGCTTCAATTACAAGTCTGTGCCTAAGACTAGGTCTACCTGTTGTTTCAGAACACAAATGTTTGTGTTGTGTAGATGTTTTTCCGTTGGGACACCATGGTTTATCTTGTAAGTTGGGTTCTGGCACTCAGCTACGAACGATTATTTGTTTCAAAAAACCAATATACCCGCCGTTAAAGAACCCACAGGCCTGATTTTGAAAAGTAATGCCAGACCTGACGGGTATACTCTTATCCCATGGTCTGAAGGTCGTTGTCTGACATGGGACGTGACATTCCCCCACATGCTGGCTGAAAGGTACATTGGCTATTCATTCATTCATTCAATGATCATCTGTAATCCCTTAAGGGACCGTTGAGGCTGATGGTATTCTTCTATTTCTCCAAAATCCTTTTCTTTCCCTCGCCATCTTCATTGAGCTCAATGTTCCAACCCCCGTCCATTCCGTGATATCATCCATCCATTTCCTCACAGGTCTTCCAACTTTTTTCTTCCAATCCCTCTTTCTCATCAGTACTTTTTTGATCAGTCTGTCGTCTGTCATTCTGCAGATGTGCCCAAAGATACCCAGCTTTTTTCCTTGACACTTTCACATTGGCTATACATCGGTAAAATCCGGTTTCGCGCTACAAAGGCAGCTGATTTTAAAAATTCAAAGCATACTGTGCTCAATGACGGCTCTTTGTTGCGGTTTGTGTCGAAACATTTGGACCAACATTTTTTCAACAATATAAGTTCTAAAATAATTGACACTTCAGGTGACCCTAATATTTCTCTATTATTACAAAAATTTAATTCTTAGAAATGCCCGGCCGTACGAGATCCTGAAACCTAGATTAATTAGCGAGTTTTTATGGCTAATGTTTTTAACCAAAGACTCGTACATACATACATATATACATACACGTATGTGTTATCTGTCATCGTCATCATAACCAATAACTGTTATAACTTTCATAGCTATAATATGGTTGCACTCATAATTATTTTATTACAATTATTATCAATATTATTATATAATAAGAATAAATGTTATTATCACTACTACAGCGGTTAAATATTTTTATCATTATTTTATTACAATTATTATCAATATTATTATATAATAAAAATAAATGTTATTATCACTACTACTGCTGTTAAATATTTTTATCATTATTTTATTACAACTGCCACAACCACAGGTTCAACACGAACTTCAAAGGTTGGCACTGTTCATTCGTCTATCCGGGCGGTGATTGGGCCGACGCGGAGTACTCTGGCAGACATTATCGTAAAGTTGAGGTTGTTGTTGTTGATGTTATTGTTGCTGTTGTTATTGATGTTGTTATTGTTGTTGTTGAGGCATTGTCAATGTTGCTGATGGTAAAGTTGTTAAAATTAAGTTTTACTAAATTAAAAGCATTTACTTTGTAAACTAAATTGAATGCACCAGATTTTAGGGCACAACAAACCGATGACGATGACGACCCTGGACAATAAGACAGCCTCGCAACCTCGCTGGCAGGCCAGGGGCTTCTTGAAGAGTGGCGTCTGGGTGGGCCTCAGGAAGTTCGCGGACGATCTCTACTGCAGAAGGGATTTCACGTGTCTGTGATTCTAACTTTTTTATTTGTTTCTTATTTTATTTTTTTTATCTTATTTCTGGATTTTATTGAGCTGAAATAGGCGATCATTTTTCATGACCATTTTAAACAAAAATATTTCAATTAATTTAAAAATGATTAGAAAAATCAAATTAATTATTTGTAAGCATTTAGTCAAAGTTAATTAAAACTATTTAAACAACAAAATCAATAATTCTGAAAAATTGATATGGCTGTTCAATGAGAGAAGATTTTAATGGTTTAAATTTAAATTGTGTTGCATTTTTAAATTTTAGAAACTGAATATATATTTTCAACAATTAAGTGAGAAATAGTATAGTTTTTAATATTAAAAATGATGAGAATATTACTCATAAGTAATGGTTCTAAAATGCTATTATTTAGAAATGTTATGAATTAATCTATATCTTAATTAATTTATATCTCAAATTTTTTTTGTTCAGTTTGAAGAAATTAATGTTTTGTGTTGACATTTCCATTTGAACCTCAGTTGAAATAACATGACGGATGAATTGTGAATGGTTGTATAGTAATTTCTACAACTCTCTCTTTTGCACTTCTCAGAAGCACATACCAACAAAACCCAGTGCTGTTAAACAAGACATCACATACATTAAAGTTTCATTGCGATCGAACCCAGCCACCGCAACATCAGTGCCAGACTTTTTAACCGCTACACCATCGCGATGACGGTTATTTAAGGTTTTTTTTTTACAATGTATGTGAAATTGTTTCAACCAGCAAGGCAGTACAGCAGCATGCCCATCAACGAGATGGACTATCTGGATATGGTCAGCATCGATAAACGTTCGTTCAACATCTGTTTGTTTAACATCTGTTTGTTCAACATCTGTTCGTTCAACATCTGTTCGTTCAACATCTGTTCGTTCAACATCTGTTCGTTCAACATCTGTTTGTTCATGCTTAATTTAAATTTAGATCACTGTGGCACATATCAAATTTATTATTTTTGCTGTTAACGTGTTAAAGTTTAACAAATTTAATGTTGCTCCGTACAAATTAAACAATGTTTTTTTATTTCAAAACCGTGTATATTAAGTGTTTTTACAGATTTGTGAACTAAACAAAAAACTAACAAACACACACACACTAAATATTCAGTTTAGATATTCACACATATTCACAAACACACACACACACTATACCCAAACACACACACATACAGCACACACACATTAACACAAAAATACAAATCCATAGAGACAAATATTTATTATTTGTTTGTTCCTCTTCTGTAGGTTCTGATCATTTTACTTAATTAATATTCAGTTGGGATATTCAATCCATTGGGGAAGATCATGCCGGTGTCCACACCATCACTAAGTAACTGTCAGATGTGCTGCTGTGTGTGCTGCAATATTAATTCCTCATCCGAAACTTCTAATGACGGAATGAATTAGTTAATGACTGAATGAATTAATATATGTATGCGAATGAATGAATGAATGAATGAATGAATGAATGAATGAATGAATGAATGAATGAATGAATGAATGAATGAATGAATGAATGAATGAATGAATGAATGAATGAATGAATGAATGAATGAATGAATGAATGAATGAATGAATGAATGAATGAATGAATGAATGAATGAATGAATGAATGAATGAATGAATGAATGAATGAATGAATGAATGAATGAATGAATGAATGAATGAATGAATGAATGAATGAATGAATGAATGAATGAATGAATGAATGAATGAATGAATGAATGAATGAATGAATAAACGAATAAATGAATTAATTAATTAATGAAAAAATAAATTATATCGATAAGATATTTGGTAGAGATATATTAACCGAGACTGTTCTTTCCAGCCTTCTAGCATCAGTTGTTCTGTGGTTTGAGTAATAATTGTGTACGATTTGGTGGCAGTTGATTTCATTTGTTTGAAGAATTCATTTGTTGCAGTTCAAAAAAAAATGATTTATCTTCTGAGCTGCCATCATCATCATGACCACCACCATCATCACGATCACCATCACCATCGTTGTCCATCCATCCACAGCGTAATAACACATTAACATATTCAAACATTTTGTCTCTCCAGCTGATCTGTCAAACGAAACTTCCAAGAGAAGAAGTAGCATTTATTTCTGCGATGTTGATTGATGTTTAATGTTTTCACATCCACCCTAACCCTTTTGAAGACAAGGCGGTGCAATTAATGGTCGACTGCTGCTGTTGCACTGACCGGGTTCGAACGCATGCAGGTTCACCGCACTGCACTGTGGGTGGGACCGCCTTTGATCCACGAGTATTTATTAGCTCAGCCTGTGTTATGTTGTTAATACATTTAAGAAATTAAATAGAAATATTAATTTTCAAAGTTTCATATATTTCCATATAAGTATGCCCCTTTGAACATCATTCACCGCGTTTATATTAAGTACACATAAGCTTATCCATCCAACATATCCTTAAACGGTGGCGTAATGGCCTAGTAGTTAAGGTCGCCTGGGACTGTTTCGCAGTAACCGGGTTCGAATATGACAAAATGATCCCCGCCTATCATACGCTTCGTGTGTGATGCGTCGTTTAGCACGTATTCATAAACGATGTTTGTGCGTGTTGTTGAACCCTTTGAACTTTGAAAGAGTGTAATTGACCTTTAACATTTAACTGACCTTGTACAGCTACTTAATCATGGTGGCTATGCAGTCAACCATTTGTCATCGAATTTTTTATAGACCAATTTTTTTCTGCACACAAACCTTTTTACTCATCGTTTAATTTGATGATGACCTAACGAAAGAGAAGTGGCTGTTGTTCGTGGTTGGCGTCCCACTGTTGATGGCGGGCATCCCAATCTGCATGCTGGTCCTCTACTGCTGCAAGCAGAATGGTTAGGGGGGTCAAAAACAAATTATATCAGTAGCTATAATGATAATAATAGCATGGTGACTGTTACATTTGCGTGCCTGGGTGGACCCCGCCTGGTCCCGGTGATGAAGTTACCGGGTTCGAGGTCAAGATGTCGCTGATCATCACGTGCAATGTACGTAATGAGTCGATTCACACAAATTCACATGCGCTGAGTGTGTTGTGTGCGTGTTGTATATGTGTGTGTGGGTTGTGTGCGTGTTGTTGTTGATACCTCTGGAAAATAATATTAAAAAAGTTAGTGACAACACCGATAGCACCATGAATAGAGATGTATATTTTACATAACAATGAAAAGAAAGAAGATAATTTATAATAAATGAAAATAACGCTAACTTGATACTTATCGAAAATTTTTATTTCCAAATTTGACTTGCAAACTCTCCAGTAACTCCCAAGATGGTGAAGGATAAAGCAGACAAGTGTAATTCTACTTTTTATTTGTTTTGTATTTCTCTTGTTAGCTTCATTGGTTTATTATTCTTTAAAATTTTATTCAATTGTTTTCTTTGCTAGTTCACTCATTCATTCACTCATTCATTTATTCATTCATTCATTCACTCATTCATTCATTCATTCATTCATTACACCACCCTTATAAATGGAAGTGCTCAGCAATATAGACGCATACAAGAAGAGGAAGGAAGAAAAAATGAAGGAAAAAGCTAAAGAAGAAAAACAAAAAAGTATTAACATGGTTTTAAAAAATATAAATAAGATGGCAAAATGGTAGAGGATCCTGGTTTTGCTCATACAATGACTAGGTTCGAGTGCAAGTACAACATTGCCTGTTGCATACAATGCACGTAATGCGTGGATTCACTCGTGTTTGTATGCGCGAATCAGAGAAATATTTAAAATTAATGACAATGATAATAATAATAACAATAATAAATTATCTTTTTTATTGTGATTATAACGGAAATGAACGAGTGCTGCGTTGAAACAGCAGGCATTTTTACAAAATTGGAAACAAATCGATGGGCGGCAGTATTAACAATCCCTGATTTGAGTTCTTTAATATTAAACTTATTTAAAAGAAGAATATGAAATTAAATCTGCATGAGATTAAAATTGTTCATTTCAATGTAACTGTGAACAGAGGAGGAGAAGAAATTGGAGAAGAGGATATCGAGAGCGCGGCGCAAGATCGACAACGGTGAGTCGTCTCAGGTCCTCGACCTTCCACAACTTTTAATAATGTAATTATTTCATTCCAGTCGATAGAGTCGAGAAGAAGATCATAAAAGTCATTAAGAAGAAACCGAAAAAAAGTTTTTTTTTTTTAAAAATCCAACTCTGGCAATGATACTTTTAAACAGTTGAAGCAATGAATTATGATTTAAAAAAAATGCATTAGTTAGTTATTGTTTGTTGATGAGAAATGTGGTGATGTTGTTTAACAGAAGTTTACATTAGAATAAAGAAAAGTGACGATGGAGCAAGAGATGACACGGAATCGTAACAACAACAACACAACAACGATAGCCAATGTACGTGCAGCCATGAAAAAGTCAAGAAAACAGAATAATTTTACAAACAAAATAAATACAAGTATAATTTATACACACACAAACAAACACACAGACACTCACACACACACGCAAATACACACATACAAACAAACACACACGCGCAAATACACACAAGTAAGCCCTGCAGTACCTGGTTATTTTTTTAGTATTATGTCTTTAGTGACGATAGTAACGTTAAGATTTGATGGTACTTAGTAAATGTTGTAATATTTATTCATGTTACTTGGATGTCTTTTTTATGTTAGATTGTGTATTGGCTTACCGTAGCAAGTTATTAAATTATCAATTTTAAAATAATCTTTAATTATTTTAGACTCAGTTGTAATTAAAACATAATATTTCCTTCATTCACTGTTTTTTATGTTTATTAACAAAACACATTACTTTGGTTTTTGTAAATTTATTACTGAATAAATTTGTATGTTAGAAATAAATTTTTTTTTGTCAGAGTTTAATTTTTATATAATTTCTAAGTATTTTTTGAAAAATTAAAAAAAAATTACATTTTTGTTGCAAAATAGTAAATATTTTATAAAATGTCAAAATAAATCAAGAAAGCTAAAGACGCTTGCAAGAAAATCTTTGCTTTGAACTCTGACTTCTGCTTGCATTGAAGTGACTACTGCTTGGTCCCGCACGGTGGAGGAACTTGGGTCGCCCAGTTGCAAACATCGAGCGTCTTATCAAAAACCAAGGCTGCATTCATTAGGTTTTCAAGAGTTAAATAAAATTTATATTCTAATAATCTTTAAAATTTCAAAACTTCGTAAATGAACAAAAAATTTTTGTAATGAATTCTGTAGAGATGAGTCAAAAAACAATGTGAGAGATGAAATGCAGTGAATGTTGAATCTTCTCTCTCTCTCTCTTTCTCTCTCTACTCTCTTTGATGAAAAAAATTAAATTAATTAAATTAAAAAGAAGTCTGAAAATTTTAAAACTGACCGGTTCCAGAAGGTGGGTTGTTGCAAGGATTTGCTCCCAAGTACTTTTGATTCTGACAAGTGAAGTACCATCTACACTGCTCAGACATCAAGGGGTACCTCCCTTATTTGAGTTATTTTGTTATTTAACATGATTTGAAAAATTTTTAAAAATCGTCATAATTGTTCATGAAATTAGGTCAGCAAGTTAAGTTTGAATTGTTTTTACCGTTGGGCTTGTTAATACATTCGGAGCTCTTCAAGCCACATGGAGGTTTGACATCTTCAATTCTGTGACAAATGAATCAATGTTGCAATATTACACATAGACTGGTTGCCATGTCGGCTAACTCTATCTAACACTTCAAAACAAATTATTCAAAATATTTCAATTAAATATTTCTGTTTCAAATTTAAATATCGGCATACTGTTCATTAGTACATTTTAGGATTTCAAATAAAAACTCGGGTTCGTGCCGTCATACGTAACGCCGCAAATTAAGTTTAGAAAAAACAAATTAAATTCGAGCTAGTAAATAAAAAATTTCAAAGCAAAAAATTTCAAGCAGATGCTGTGTGTGCATTTGTTTAACATCACTATTACTAAACCGGTAACTAGGCTACAACAACATCATGTAAAATTGATTGTGCAGTGTGCACGTTGGTGTATGGATTTAGAAGCAACTTATTTGATTTTAAAACCACAAAATTAATTTTTAGTTCACAAACTTAAATTTGTATTTACAGGAAACAAGATCTATAAAAATTTGATAACAGGATCTGACTGCAGATAAGGTTGTATTCAAATTTTAGAATCCATCTCATTTCTAGTACATAATAAACTTACAAACCTCCAATCAAAAACTATTTGTTTGCTCTTTAACTGAGATTAAAATTAAATATGTACTGACCGTTCACATTTCTTAGTATCATAGTCATAAGCTTCATGATCTTTGCATGTCACCAAAGTGCCAACCCCTCCCTTGCACGCGGTGTAGGATCGACAACCAGCTCCGTAGGAACCATCAGGAAAGCCTGTGCAGTCCATCTGGCAGAATGTTTGTTTGGCTGCCAGAGCTGAAAAATCGATTATGAATATTTTCAATAGCGGAGGATGGTTTATAACAAATCATATTTTTATTTGCTGAGAATAATCAACAACTATTTTTGGAAATAATGCTACAATTTGTATAACTAATAGAACTAAGTATACAATGAATATCAATGTATATGAATATCAAACATTTGTGTAACATTTGTTCGCGTAACATAAATAAATATTTCAGACATGTTTGCAACGTTAAATGTAGTTTTAGATTAACCGTCGTACCGCTAACGATTTATAAAAATTTTTTTTTATAAATCTATGAATTGATTTATTAAATTTGTTTCAGAAGAACTTCAAACTATCCTAATTGGCTAATAAATTTTAATAAATTTGTTTTGCGTTCCTGTTTCCACCAATAAGCATATATAACAAAACAACAAACCACCTCAATTTTATTAAATCATTAAAAATAAAACAAAGCTAACCAACGATTGACAAAACGATTAAAACAACGCTGTTCATTTTCGTGTCTTCAACAAAAAAATTGAAACGCTCCTGCCAACTAGCCGAATTTATAGATTTTTTATTATTAAGCGCCAGTACAATTAATCATGTAACTATTCTACATGTACACACTTATCAATTCATGTGTTTGTGAAAAAAGTAGCTAATCTGTGAGAGGTTGAAGGTTCAGACGCACGAGCTCACTAGTAAAGTGTTTGATAGGTGATTGATGATGTCATCATTTTCATTACGAGGAATATTGTTACAATTGCTGAAAGCTTTTCATTCTTCTTTATGCTAATACTCATTAAGCATATAAATGTGTATATATTATGTATATAATACGAGCAGCAATCAACTTGAAATTTACAATTCATTTGTTGCAAAGCTTACTTCGAGTTGGAATTTCATTTTTGGATATGCTAGCGGTTTTATCCCTGGTTAAACGTAAACTGATTTTCGATAGCTCCATTGTTCAACAAGGTGACGTAAAATTTAAGAAAGTCCTTCAATATTTTTTAACAATATCGATATCCCTGTCTGTCGTTTGAATGGTTCTAAATTATAATTGTTAGGACTAAGATGTACCATCAGTAGTGATGGGAACTAGACTAATTTTTTTTAGTTGAACTATAAAACTTAATTTGAACTGAAAAAAATATAATCTGACTAATCAATTTTTATAATTTTCCCAATGTAGTTAAACTAAACTGAAAAAGTTAGTTAAACTTTGTTAAACTTTTATAACTTATCCTAACTATTTCTGTCAAAAAGATGCCCGAATCATGACATCACAGCTAAATCTTTATTGCACTTTACGAACAACAAAATATTTTTACTGATAAAAAATGAAATCAACATGAAGTGTTTCCAATGTCAGTCTGAAATGTTATAATCTTTGTATTGAGAACGAGCACATTAAAAAAAAAGAAAGTCAGGCATTTCATATCTCCGAATTGTCAGAATTTGTGATGCTGTGCTGAACATTCGTTCAACAGCTGCTATCTATAAAAAAATCGGAGTTGTTTTTTTAAATTTGTTTTCTATGAATTTAAATTGCATTGCAGACGGTATTCTTGACTTTTGTCCATCTTCCCACTTGGCATTCACTTTCAAAATTATTTAAACTGAAACGACACAGTTTATTATATTTAGTTTTTGGCAATAAAATGAGTCGAATGTCAAGAACAACCAGTAAACAGGATTAGCAGCAAAAAAAACCGCGTTTTTTACTCAAATATAAAGTTACCGAAAATATATAATATGTTATTAATTATTTACTGCAGGCCAGTATTATTGAAAAAATTATCAAAATTTTCAAGTTCGGAAAAAATGTTGCCAAAACAATAAAATTTCTAGTTAAACTTTTTTGTTATAACCAAAAAATTAGTTAAACTTTTATTTTAGTTTAACTAAACTGTTATTTTTTAGTTGATCTTTGATCTTAACTAAAAGTTTTACTTATACTTAAACGTTAAACATTTTTAGTTAACTTTTACTCATCACTTATAATCAGTATGTAGGACACTTGAGTTTTAAAGTCGATGTGTTCCTATTTAATGACAAGTGTTTTAGGCTGCAGTGTGTAATTATCATTTTTTAATTTTCAAGTTCAAGTTTCAAATTTAATTATATTAATCATTTTTACGGGAAAGCTTTTATTTTTTAATAATTTTATTTTCATTAAAAAATGAAACATTGAATATAGTTTCAAAGAAAGTGATAAAAATTTTAACAGGTCATGATATGCAGCAAATATAAAAATCACATTTCACATTCAGATATGTAAATTTAAATTCAAAAAAGTATAAAAATAAATAAAATGTAATTATTAAAAAATAATTTGTATTCAAAAGCAGAAAATGTATTTTAAGTTGTAAGCATGTTGGAAAGCGGGTTGTTTCAGCAACTCTCTACTGCTTGGTTCCACACGGTGGGCTAACGTCATACTTCCAGTTGCAAACGCCGAGAACCTCGTCGAACACCAAGGCTGAAATTTTTTTTAAATGGTTTTGCCTTTTTAAAAATAATTGAATCCAAATCAATGAATAATAAATTTTATGTATTAACTTGTTCGTTTATTGAATTAAACAACAATTTATTAGCTCATGGTAATCATAAAAATGTCAGCTGTGGTACCGTAGTTATAACAAAAAATTAATAGATGAAAATAATTCACCGGTTCCGCTGGGTGGGTTGTTGCATGGGTTGGCTCCCAGGTACACTTGTTCCTGGCATGTGAAGTACCATCTGCATTGCTCCGACTGCAGGGCGTATCTCCCTGGTGGGTGGTGAATATTGGTGAATTCAGTCAATATTGTTGAATATTTATTAAATATTCATTGAATAGTGATTGAATATTTGTTAAATATTTAGTGAATATTCATCGAATGTTTATTAAATAGATGTTGAATATTTTTTATATATTTATTGAATGTTAATTCAATTTTGTTTTCACTATTTTACATAAATTTTATTTGCGACAATTAAATTAATTGGATCAAATTTTCATCTTTGATTAGTGTTCAGAAATCAATTAAATCGGAAAAATATTTTACCATCAGGCTTGCCGATACATGCCGAACTGTTCAAACCGCACGGAGGCTTGACACTATCGATTCTGTGAGGTGTTCATAAATAGTTCAACATTTTTACAGATAATGCTTCTTCAATGATAAATGACAACTATGGGATAATTTGTTTTATTATATAACCATTAACATTAGTCAAATTTATTGAAACATTCTGCTAAGTATGATAGAAACGTACGGTTCACACTGATTGGTGTCGAAGTCATAAGCTTGGTCTGGTTGACAGGTGACCAACGTACCAACCCCACCCTTGCAGGCCGTGTATGATCGGCAACCAGCTCCATAGGAACCATCAGGTTTGCCTGCACAGTCCATCTGACCAAATGTCTGTTTGGCTGCCAGAGCTGAAATAATTGTGGGTAATTATTTTCGTCAGTAAGATGCTCATTTAAAAAAATTGAATAGTTTTTAATTTCTACGTAAATAATAAGTTGGCGTAAATTTTTTTGAACAATAAAATAATTAAGTATTTCAATTGTATTTTATGTAGACTTTTTAAAAATAAACTCAATATGTTTTGTAGAATGTTGAAAATTAATGAACGGTGAATTTTGACAAGAGCGAGGTCACGAAGTGTGTGTTCCTTCATTTCATTGCGTGGTATCACATCAAACATTTGAACCTCAAGTACCGCAACATTCACTCACAACACAACGCACCTGATCAAGCATGCAACGCCGCACATAAATAACAAGTTGGAAGATCTCACTCACACTGATCAATTTATAATACTTTGAAATAAATATTTACTTAAAAATAATGTAAATAAAAAAATAAAACATAATGAAATGAAGTGTTATAGCCATCTATGAAACTAACCAAAAACCGCCAGGACAACGAGGAAAGCTTTGTTCATCTTCTTGCTTGCTAGCTTGGACGTAAGATTCAAGGAAGTTTCAATTCTCGATTGAAATTTCTTCAGATTTCTGTCCTATTTATACAGCTTGCCACATAATTATGACACATCCACTCTTCTCTCTCTCTTTCACTCTCTCAATATCTCTTCCAATATATATATATATATATATATATATATACATATATATACATATATATATATATATATATACATACATATATATATATAAGAAATGTTGGGAAGAAAAGGAGACTATATTTTATACAGTATTTTCAACTGAAAAGACAAACTTTAAATTGACTAATCCCGACAATTCGGTAGAATTCAAACATTACACACACACACACACGCGCGTGTTTATACACATACACACATACACACACTTATATATATTTATATATACATTTATAATATTTACAAATATTTACCGATATATTATAATTACTCATAAATTTATTCATGGTGTGATCTTGTTACAGGTAAGCTGACAGGTGAGATGGTTGATTGCTTTGCATTAAAAGTTTGCTTATTTGGTAAGTGTAATAATAATAATAATAATATTTCTATTTTTATTATTATTGTTATTATTATTTACAAATTATAATGGTCATTAATATCATTATTATTCGTGCAATAACAATCGGATCTTGATACTATTATGATTGGATAGGTGAATATGATATACTGCTCGAAACAGTATTGAAACGTTGTGTGGGTAGAAAGCCGTACGTGCATGTCAACATTGATATCTGCGCACGATGCGTCAATTTCCATGATTAATAGAGAAAGATTAGAGAGTGGTGATAGTTTCCGTTGTGTCGTCGTAGTAGTAATTGTACCTTTCTGGAAGTCATCGTCGTGTTAAAAATATGATGACACGTTCTTGCTGAAGATTTTTAAAGGAGCGTTTCACAAATTATGCATTCGTTTAATTACTATTTGAATTCCATATTAAATTATTCTATTAATAAATTAAATTGTTGAAGTCTTATGATTAATTGTAATCAAATTAACGAGAGATGATGATCGTCCGGTTTGATGACTCAAATAGCAGCAACAACAGATTAGCGATTAATTTTGGTATTGTTGTCGCAGTGTGGGTCGGTGGTCTGTTTGAATGCACTCGTGTTGGTTAATCATCAAGTTCCGAAAAGCGAATAAACAACTTGAACTGCAAAGACAATATTGGACAGGTGTTTGTTTGATGAGGCTCGGAACTTTACGTCATGCGTTCAAGTGTACTCTTGTTTTATAATCTTTTTTTATTATTGTTACAGTTTAGCAAATTTTGTTTCTTTTATTATTTTAGTAGAAAA